GGGGCGGTGGCCGGCAGAGGGCCGAAGGAGGTGCAACAAGGGAGCTGCGGCGAATGCCCAAACATACGGTCCACAAAGTGAAGACCCCCTCCAGCAGGGCACAATGCCACCGGACGGCCTGGCCACGGGAGGTGACGTCCGTCCGGGCGCGGAACACCCCGACCAGCGATTCGCACACGCTGGCCCCGAGCAGCGTCTGGCGCGCGCGTCCGGGAGGAGGAAGGGATGTTGGCGTCAGATACTCAGGCAAAGAGAGGGAGGGAGAGGGAGAGAGAGAGGGAGAGAGAGGGGAGGGAGAGAGAAAGGCGCAGGCAGTGCATATGGACAGCAGGAAAAGGACAGGCAGGGCAGAGAAAAGGGAGCACGGCTGGAAAAAAAAAGCGAGAGTGGACATGGGGATGAAGAGAGAGAGAGAGAGAGAGAGAGACAGGGCAAGCTGGCGGGGGCGCGGGAAAGCCACCGCCCGGCCGAGAGCCCCACAGGAACGCACCATCATCTGGACATAGGCCGATCGGGCGGCTTCCCGGCAGAGGGCCACCAGCAGCGGCGCGACACTGGTGCTGGCCAGGCCGGCGCGCGCCGAGGACCCCGGCGACGGGAGCTCCGGCGTGCCGAAGCACGACAAAACCCACGCCACATAGAGGAAGTCATTGTGCGCGAGGGCCCCCTCGCGAGCGGCGGCCTCGCACTGGGCACGAAGCTGCGCCTCGGCGGGGGGGCCGCCACCGGCACCGGCGCTGACGGCCGCCTCGAACACCTGGCGCAGACGAAGGACCGAGTGCGCGCGCAGGAGATCCACCACATCGCGCAGCACCGCCGAGATGTCCTCCGGCCCGGCGCCCGACCCGCCGGTGGCCAGCCCCAGGCACAGGGGCACCAAGTGGCCGACCGCCAGCCGGCGAATGCGCCGGGACACGGCCAGGGGCGAGAGATCCTGCTCGACCGACAGCAGCCGGTCGACAGCCGGCCCGGCCCCGGCGGCCGCCGGGTCATCCAGCAGGGCCAGCAGCTGCTGGCGCGCGGCGCCCTCCGGCCGGGCACAGTCCCCGCCAACCGCCTCATGGCCATAGGCCTGGCCACACAGGAGGTCCCGACGCGCGGCATCCAGCAGCCGAGTTCGCCGAGCCGACCGCACCCGCGCCTGGAACCGCGGGGCCTGCCACCAGCCGGACAGCGAGGCCACGGCGGCGGCCGGCGACGAGGCCACCCCGGGCCCGGGGGCCGGGGCCCCGGGCGCCAAGCCGGGCGGCCACCGCGGCGACCCGGCCCCGGCCCCGGCCCCGGCCCCGGCCCCGACCTCGGCCCCCGGGCCGCCGGCCGTGGCCCCACACTCGGCCGGCCCTCGCGGCAGCAGCCCATTCAGGTGCAGGTACGATTCGAATTGCTGGGCACTGGTGTGCGCGCGCGAGGCAAAGTCCCCGGCCGCCGGGGCGTCCTCCCCCGGCCCGGTGGCCTCCGTGGCGAAATGCTCCACCAGCAGGGTGTAGGGCCCCTGATGAAGAGCCCCCACGAGGACCGGCCAAACGGCCGCCGCCCAGCGCTGGCTGGTGCGCGTCGACAAAAGTTGCCCCTCGGCGGCGGAGAGCTCCGGCATTGGCCCCCCCGCCGGGCGGCCGGGCCCGAGGACCAGCTCGCTCGGGGGCCCGGCCACCAGCGGCTGCAAAAACTCCACAATGGCCGAGGCCCGCTCGTACACGGTCCCGGCAGCCACATCATCGGCCACGGCACGCGGGTCGGCCCCCGGGCCGGGGGCCGCCACCTGCTGGATGGACGCCCCATCCGGCCCGAGGCCCAAGTGCCGGACCGGGGCCACCAGCGTCAACACATGCACAAAGGGGGCCGCCTGGGCCGAGAAGACCCGTGCCTCCGGGTCCCCGACGGCCAGGGGGAAGGCCCGCCCGGCCAGGCGCCCGGCCAGGTCCCGCAGGACCGCATCCCCCGGGGTCGGCAGCGAGGCCTCCAGCGGGGCCAGCAGATGGGCTGCCGTGAAGGTCGTCTCGAGGTCCGGCAGCTGAAGCGGCCCGGGCGGGCTGAGAAGCCCGGGCCCGGCCCCCGGCCGGAGATCCTGCGTCAGGTGCAGCGCCAGGAGGACATCCTGCAGGGCGGTGGTGCGCTCGGGGTCGGTGGTGATGCCTGGCACGGTGGCACCGGGCCGGAGAGCGACATGGGTCAGCGACGTGGGCGGGCGCCGGCAGGGGGCACGACAAGCCCGGCAGGAGCATGGCCAACATACCGGAAAGCCGAGCGTGCACAGTCACCTGGACCACCGAGCAGAAGGCCGGCCGGGTCAATGGCTGCGCCAGGGCCGCCGAGGCCGCGGCAAACAGGGCATCGATGTCGCTCGAGTGCGCCGGCGGGTCCAACGGGGTGAGGGTGCGCTCGGTGACAACCACCGCCCGAGTGGCGATGTCCACCAGCCGAGCCCGGAGCGCCGTGTGCAGGGTCACATACTCCTCCTGCGCGCGACGCCGCAGCCAACGGCGAGGACCGGACAGTCGCCAAGGAGCCCAAGCAAGCAGGGGACCGGGGAACAGAGGGTGAGTACCACGCCGCGCACTGGGGGGGGGGGCGGGG